GGCTGGGGTCTCTTAAGATGGTTTATCCAGCAGCCATCTAAGATGCAACTATTGGTCTCCCTTTGGGTGGAGCAAAGAAGAATGAAGAAAATCAGAGTCATTCGGAAACAATTAGTCCTCAGATATGATGGACCACAGGAACCTCAACCTTCACGAGCCCGAGGCCAGAAGAACCAGATGGTACCTGGCTACCAACGCCAACCACTCGAAAGGGATCAAAATTAGGATATCCTGGATAGAGCGTGAGGAAAAGTGGTGGAACAAACTTTAAGAACACAAATATGACCAGAATGACTGGATGGACAGACTGGTGGAAGCCCCGAGACTACGGCCCCGGCTTACCCTTCGGGCCTGGAACTGGACTCATTTCTGTGGATCACCTCTCGGCCAAGCAGCCGAAAGACCTATAAGCAGAACACCTACCCCAGGGGATGCACCCCCCAGACCCATCAGCCATGAGACACAGAGGGGCAGCATCCACACAGAGGGCAAGCTGGGCAGACAGGAGTGCACAGGTGAGAGGGGCGCAGGGAGGGGTGGCCACAGGCAGGGGATGGAAGAGAGCTTTCCAAGGCTGGGGACGGTAACTGGGGCCCTGAAACCAAGCATGCGCGAGCCGTCGTGAGTGAAACGAACCTGCGGTATCAGTCTGCACCCACACACACTAAACATTTAAGTAAATAAACCCCCTACTCTCCTGAGGTGATGAAGACAGTGGACAGGAGGTCCTCACCTCTCTGCTCACATTCCTCCTTAGCTACTCTCTAAGAAGAAATATTTTTCCCCTTCTTAGGTAAATCTCCTCCACCTTTCCTCTACTCTACTGAATGCAGCACAGCACTCGGAAGCAGGAATGAACTTGGAGATCGCTCTCAGTTCACAGATGAAGGCTTTCAAAGGCTCTGTCAAATTGAGCCTTCTTCTAGGGCACAGAGATGAATCAGACCCTAGTCTCCTCATTACCATGTCTGGGTTTGCTCACCATACCATCTCGCCTTCCAGTCCCTCAGCACGGTCCAAGACCCTCTTCCTCTCTAGTTTTTTTCCATTTCTCATTCTCCTTCAGGAACTGGCTTGCTTTCTGACTCCTCACCCCCTCTCTGGCCTAAAACAATATGAAAAGAATCCAAGGAAGTTCACCAGTCCACCATTCCTTTTAGTACACAACCTGTCTGGTACTTGCCGCCAAGTACAAGCTCAGTGACCTCACTCCTTGACTTCTAGCAGTCTGGTTTCCACCCCAGCATTCCACTCAGCAGCACTGTACGTATCTGCAAAGTACTCCCTAGACTCTGAATTTAGCACTTTTCTCTTCAAGCCTATTTGTTTTGCCTTCTGTGTTGTGCAACTCTGTGGAGCCCCTGCTGTTTGACTATTCTTCTGGACTCAGAGCACAATGCTATCAGCCTTATACATCCCTCTGCTATAATACTTATGCCCTACTATAATCATTAGGAGCTCTGGTAGCATGGTGCCTAAGGCACTTGACTGCTAACCAGAAGGCTGGCAGTTCAAACCCACCTGCCACTCCTTGGAGGGGAGGTTGGGCAATCTACTTCCGTAGTGATACTGCCTCAGAAACCCAAGGAGGGGTTGCAATGAATTGGGACTGACTTGACGGCACATAACAACAACAATAACAACTGTAATCATTTACTCAACAACCATCTTCCCAACTGGACCCCTGTAGGCCTCATTATTTTTACAGTTCCAGCATAAACTCAGAGTTCCTGGGTGGTACAAATGGATAACATACTTGGATGCTAACCAAAAGGCTGACAGAATGAATCCACCCAGAGGTGCCCTGGAAGAAAGGCCTGGAGATCTACTTCTGAAAAACCAGCCACTGAAAACCTGTGGCGCACGACTCTACCGTGACACACCTGGGGTCACCACGCACTGAGGCTGACTCAACTGGAACTGGTTTCTAACTGGTAGATACAATCAAATACGCTATACTCAAGGCCTCCTGCAAACATGTCTGTTGAGTGAATGAGTGGGTAACTAGGCACTTGTCGCTCATACTCTTCAGTCCTTATTATAACTGCTCGCAGGAGTAGCCATAAGATTCTCCTGGAGAAGAGCAGTTATTTGATGGAGACAGAAAAGACAGCAAACAAATTTAGAATTATTCCTTTACTCCAGCACACCCCTATTGTCAGGATGCACATGGAGAGCCTTGAGAAAAGACCAGGAAGTTGCAGGATTAGAGTACCAACGACTCTTTTTCAGTTTTCTGCTCCCTTGCCTATCACATTTCCTCACAGGAATTCCATAACTTCCATGTGGTTGCTCTATGCCATCTAGTCAATTCCAATTCATAGTGACCCTATGTTGTTTTTGCTATGTGCCAT